AAAGAAAGTTATGACAAATCTAGATAGCATATTAAAAAGCAAAGACATTACTTTGTCAACAAAGGTCCATCTAGTCAAGGCTATGGTTTTTCCAGTAGTCATGTATGGCATCCGGATGTGAGAGTTGGACTATAAAGAAAGCTGAGTGCCGAAGAATTGATGCTTTTGAACTGTGGTGTTGGAGAAGACTCTTGAAGAGTCCCTTGGACTGCAAGGAGATCCAACCAGTCAATCCTGAAGGAAATCAGTACTGAATATTCATTGGAAGGACTGATGCTGAAGCTGAAACTCCAATACTTTGGCCACCTGATGCAAAGAACAGACTCATTGGAAAAGAGCCTGATGCTGGGAAAAATTGAAGACAGAGGAGAAGGGGACGATAGAGGATGAGATGGTTGGAGGGCATCACTGACTTGATGGACATGAGTTTGAGCAAGCTCCGAGAGTTGGTGATGGATGGGGAAGCCTGGTGTGCTACAGTCCATGGGGTTGAAAAGAGTCGGACACAACTGAGCAACTGAACTGAGCTGAACTCATGATCAGATTGTTATCAATAATTTTTAATTGTATAAAGCCCTTTTTTATTTGAAACAAGAAAAAACATTTAATTAGTTATCTAGTTCAATCTCTACCAATACACTTTCTAGGACATGGTCCAATTGGTTGTTTCATAGTCCAAAAAGTATTTATTCCCTTGGGCAAAGAAAAAAAGCCATCTGGTTAACTTCTACAGCCATATATAGCCCAAATATTTTATATCCTTTTATTCTTCTTCATAATGACTTAAACATTTTTGTATTTTTAGCTTTTTAATAGTTCCCTTGCCAAATTTTTGTCTGGTGGATCTCTCCGATACATACAGAGGTATATTAGAACTGTTCTACTGTAGGGGTAGATTTGCCTGTGTCTCCTCAGAGATTTTTGCTTCTGTCTATTTTGGATTTACATATTTTGAGGCCATTTTATTAGATGCATATACATTTAGAATTGTTGTAACTTTTTCTGATAAATAATAATTTTTATTATTATGTGGCAGTGATATAATTTGTATCATCATTGTGACTTTCTTTACCTCTAGTAATGCTTTTTTGCTTTAAAAGTATTCTGTATAATATTATCATATCCAATAAGGTTTCCTGTGCTTACTATGTGTCTGGTAAATCTTTTCAAACATGTTGCTTTCAATCTTCCCATATACTTTTGTTTAAATATGTCTTTCATAAATAGCATACATCTGAAATTTTTTAAAAAATTCTTTGACAATTTTATTGGTTAACTGAGCATTTAATCCATTTACACTTATTATAATTACTGACATATTTGTATTTCTTTTCATCGTCTTTTTTTCTTTTACTTTGCTTTTTCTGTTTCTTTCTCTCTCATTTCTTACCTTTGTGGGAGGCTTCAGGCTATTTTCCTTTATACCTAGAATACCAAGGCTTCTGACTTAAATTCACATGAAGCCATTTTATTAGAGTCAGATCTTTTCTTAATTTGAGTTTGATTAAAAGGAGGAGAAAAAAAAAATAGAACAAATCAAAGAGAAAGGAAATGGAATACAGTGGAAATGGTTACTACTTCACACCCACTAGGCTGACTACATGGGGAAAAAAAAAGAGTGGGAGAAAGAAAGGAAGGAAGGAAGGAGAGAGTGAGAATGTGAAAAAGGAAGGAAGGGAAAATACAAGTATGGACAAGGACGTGGAGAAATTGGAACATCTGTGCATTGCTGATAAGAATTAAAATGGTGCAGTTACTATGGAAAACAGTAAGGCAGTTCCTCAAAAAAAATGAAAATTGGGGACCTTGCTGGTGGTCGAGTGGCTAAGACTCGCACTCCCAATCCAGAGGTCCCAGGTTCGATCCCTGGTCAGGGAACTAGATACACAGACCACAACTAAGAGTTTGCATGCCACAATTAAAGATACTGAAACCTGCAACTGAGACCCAGTGCAGCCAAATAAATAAATATCAAAAAGAAAAAACTTTATAAAAAATTGAAAATTGAAATACTACATAATCCAGCAATTATAATTCTTATACTCAAAATAACTGAAAGGAAGATCTTGAAGATCTGTTGTATACCCATAGTCATAGTAGCATTATTCACAATAATATAGTCTAAGTGTCTTTGTATAGAAGAATGAATAAGCAAAACATGACATACACATGCAATGGAATATCATTCTGCCTTCAAAAGGGGAGAAGTTCTAATGCACGTACTATTAATAATACAACATGGATGAATGAATGAACCTCAAGGGTACTATGCTAAGTGAAACAAACCAGTCACAAAAGGATGAATACAGTATGATTCCACTTAAACGAGGTGCCCAGAGCAATCAAATTCAGACACAGAAAAAGAATGATGATTGCCAGGGGCTGGGGAGAGGAGGGCATGGGGACTGTTCTGTTAAGTGTGCACAGAATTTCAGTTTGAAAGATGAAAAGAGTTTCAGAGATAGACGGTGATGATAGTTGTACAATAAAGCAACGTACTTAAGGCTACTGAACTGTACACTTAAATTTTGCTAAGACAGTAAATTTTATGTTATGTGTATCTTACCATAATTTTTTAAATGTTTGAAATGGCGGGGAAATAAAGAAAAACTGACTTTACTTCTTTCATAATTATACACGACCAGTTTAAGTCCTCTTTCCTTTGAAGAACTATAGCTGCGGATAGGCCATGTTGCTATTTACCTTTGCTTCTCCTAACAACTTCATCGGGCAGCTATTCTAACTCTTGTTTCACAAAGAGGAAAGCAACTTGCTCAAATTCCCAACAGTGATGTATTCAGTCACCCCATTGGCAGCGTTACATATATTGACTGTGAATCCCCAAACCACGCTATGTCATAAGCTTTACGATCCCATGTTGCAGATGAAGAAACTAAGTTCTGAGACATTGTCATTTTTTTTTTTTTTTTTTTGCTCAGTGTCACAGTTAAGTGGTGTAATCAGGACTGCCTGAACTCATAGCTAATACTTCTAGTCCCTGCAGTATTCTACTTCCTCATACACTTGGTTATTATCCCTACTTAGTATTTTAATCTGTTTTTCAGTGCATAATGGTATGGCAGAGAAAGCACTAAACTTTCAAAAGAAAGATATTTAAGTTACTGTTCCATTATTTGCTAACTGAACAAGCTATATCTTGTGTATAATGGGAAATTCCTGCCCTGCCCATCTGAGTTGTAAGATTGTCTCAGGTAAGTATTTTGGAAACTGAAAAAGTAATTACAGTAAATGCTGGCATTTTGCTTCTCAATAAAATTCAGGTCTTTCAGGTCAATTAACGTCTTAGGCTTGGGGGCTTCCCCAGTGGTCCTGTGGTTAAGAACCTGCCTTGCAATCCAGGGGACACCAGTTCGATCCATAGTTCCGGGAGATCCCACGTGTGATAGGCGACTAAGCCTGTGAGTCACAACTGCTAAGCTTGCTCTCCTAGAGCCCAGGAACCGCAACAAGAGAAGTCTCCGCGATGAGAAGCCCATGCACCCAGACTTGAAAGTAGTCTGGCTCTCCAAAACTACAGAAAGCCCGAGAGCAACAAGGAAGCCCCCGAGCAGCCAAAAATAATTTTTTTAAAAGTCTTGGCCTTGGTGGATATTTTCCTTTATGTAGATGGTAAAATTTACCCTAAAAATCTCAGTATATATCAGTAGGATTATTCAATATGATCATGTATTACTATAACTAATTATTTTTCCACCTTTACAGTAGAAAATGGGCAGATGTCACCAATTAGGAACATCACCAATAGTGGGACAAACTGACACCATATACCTCCTGCTCTGATGAACTGAGACACATCATTTAGATAGTATTCCTACCAAAAATCTCATGAAGAACAATCTGATAAACCTATTTTACAGAACAAGTGACCTAGATTCTGCAAAAATATCACCGAAGACAAAGAAAGACCGAGGAACTGTTCCAGGTTTACAGAAACTAAAGACACACAGCTAAATTCAATGTGTGATCCTGAAATGAAAAAAAAAAAAATTGCAGTAAATGGCATTATTGGGACAACTGGCAAAAGAGCAGATAGTGGGCATTACATAATATTATTATAAAGATGTTAAACACACTGAATTTGATCATTGTGTTTTGGTTAGAAAATTCTCTTGTTCTTAGGAGACTCACACCAGAGTATTTTTCAGAGATGAAGGGCCATGAGGTCTGTAATTTACTTTCAATTTGTCCCCTCAAACAAATATAAGCAGTACAAAAACTCTACATACTTATGCATGGGCTAATATTCTTAACGCACAAAGGATACAAGACAGGGACAAAATATGTAAATTTTCTAGTGGAAGAAAAACTAATTTTATTTGTACAAGATGGCACTAGTTTTCCACAAACACATCAAGAATCAAAAAAATCTAAATAGAAGGAAGGCACTATCTGGTCAGATGTAAAGGCTGCTACCAAAGCTGCTGAATGTTAGAATTCCCTACAGCTTGAGAATCCAGCCCAAGTTTTGAATTGTTAAGAGCGTGCCCCAGGGATTTTTGTGGTCAGCTGAGCTGAGTACACGTCTGGGGTCAGCAAGCAGTTCGACTGAACAGAGTTCCCCCTCGTGGGGAACCTCTGACACACGCTCTGCGGGGTGGGCCCCTGCGCGGGGTCCATCATGGGACACTTAGCCCAGGCTGAGCCTGCAAGTCCGCGATGCCCACCTGGGAAAAGACAAGTAAATGGATCCGACAATGGAATAACCGTTCCTGAAATGATTAGCAACGAAAAGAGCAGCGACTTCCCTCAAGACTGTAGTATTAACCTTACCACCTCCGGTTTGAAGAAACTGCTCTGAACCACGTCTCTCAGTAGCTAAGGAGTTTAAGATAAAAGCAAGAAATTCTTGGCGCCGGGGGCGGGGGTTCGGGGAGGGTCTACAGGAGCCAAATACACTGTTTTGAGAATGTCACCCGTGTGGATGACCAAGAGACGCGACCTGGTACAACCTCAAGTTCAGCCGCATTTCACAAACTCACAACCTGCCCCCTCACTTCCTCAAGTTCGCCGGCCGCTGGCAATGCCAAGTCCCTCTCCGACGCGGGGACGTTCCCACCACGATCCACCCGGGCTACCGAAAGAGCTCGCCGGCGAGGAGCGCCGCGCGCAGACCGGGCCGAGCCTCCCCGGCGCCCTCCCGGGCAGAGACCGACCGCTCCGAGACGCGCCCGGGGGGCGCCGGGCAGACCCCGATCCTCCCGGAGTTGTCCCGGGGGGCGGTGCGGCGCGGCGGCCGAGCGGCCCCATCCGGCCAGGCGGAGGCTCGCCCGGGCCAGAGCCACTGAGGACGGCGGGGCCGGAGGTCGGTCCTCACTGCCGGGCTCCCCCGCGGGCGCAGTTCCGGGTCTTGTCCTCGGGTCAGGGACTAGTGACAGCGAGGGGACAGGGGCGGGGGAGGGGTCCGTGGTAACCGTGCTGGCGGCGTGCGCTGTCCTGAAGGTGCATGAGCATTTATTTAGCGCCCACTGTGTGCCTACGCTTCTGCTTCTTCCAGCGCCCCGGCCGCCGCCGCCTGGGTGTGCAATCCGTGCAGCTGCACAGGCCCTGCGCTTGTTTTAACTCCACTCTTGAAATTCTTAGTGATTTTTGAACAGAGGGCCCTACATTTGCCTTTTCTACTGGGACCTGCAAATCATGTAGTCTGTCCTGGTGAGCAGTGCTTTCATTTAACCTTCTCTACAACCCTGCAGGGAAATATAAATAACAGTGAGACTAGTGTTGGTAACAGCCACAGCTTCTAGTTATAAAACAGTTACATGTGTTCTCTCAAGAGCTGTTCTAAGTGCTTTCCAAGTATGATCTCATTAGTAAAAACAAGATTATGAAGTGGATATTAGAATAATCCATTTTTAAGATGAGGAAACAATCACGGGGAAATGAAATAAATTGTCCAAGAGTGTATACAGCTGGTCAGTGGCGGAATGAAGATCAGACCCCAGACTTTAAAGCACAGAGAAGGGGAGTCACCTGCCTTAGGTCCCACTGTTTGTAGCAGAACCTCAAATGAAACCCACATTCACCCCACTTGAAGGCCCTTGGTAGAACTCCCTGTGTGTGCTTCTAAAATTAAATGAAATCAAAGATATGGCAACTCTTCTTGGATTCCATCCAACCATCCTACATGCATTCATTATTATCTCTGAGAACTTCTTGGCCTCAGATGATGTCTTTTGTTATAGTAATAACTATCACCTGTCCAATCCAGGATGACCACAATGCTTTCACTGGAAGCAACATTAAAAAAAAAATCCTTTAATGGAAACTAAAGCTGTCAGAACTCTGCTCTTAATAGTATAGTTTGTAGTAGACATTCTTTTCAATTGCAGTTTTTCCTTGCAGTACAATTACTACACACTTGTCAAATTTTCAGTGAAATGACACTGCCCAAGGAAACACAAAAGCTGACACAACCTCAAGGCAACTGGAAGAGGAGCTGAGAAGTTCCCTTCTCTATTTACATCTAATTGTTGCAGAGTTCAACTTCATAAAGTCTAATTCTGGTCACTCTGGTCAAACTTGTAACTCTTCTTCATCACAGCAGAAGATATGAATTTACACAGTCTTTAAAAATCAGTGTTGGTCACCAAGAACCTACTCTATAGCAGCACATGGAACTCTGCTCAGTGCCATGCGGCAGCCTGGATGGGAGCGGGTGCTGGGGGGAGAATGGATACATGTATTCGTGTGGCTGAGTCCCTTCGCTGTTCACCGTAAACTATCACAACATTGTTCATCAGCTATGCCCCAATACAAAATAAATTTATTTTTAAAAAATCAGTATTGGTGATGAATGTGTTAGTTAAAAAGGATGGGAGAAATCCTTTTACAACATATACTTACATCAGGTCATCACTGTGCACATTTTATCTTACAGTTTTGTCAATTATATCTTGATGAAGCTGGGGGAAAATAGAATAAAAATTTGAATCAGTGTTAAACAGGTTTTTCTCCATGCGGAAAAAAATGTACTTTCATGGTAAGTGGGAGCAGAAAAGTGCCTGCCCTGACCCCCACCTGGATGCCTTCAAACTTTCTGGGATGTTAAGACATGAACCAAGTGATTCTTCAAGGCAGTACCTGATGATGGTCCTTTGAGAATTGAAAGAAGGACCCAAGACTGGATGTAGGTCTGAGCTGGACCCTGAAAGAGACTACAGTTTGGGACAAGCTGCTACTATGGCGATAGAAGATGCAGGCTGGCAGTGGGGGGATCTCTGGGTTTGTTTAAGCAAGGGAGGGATCTAAAAAATATTCCTGCCCAGATTTCTCACAAGACTGCGTGTGTGGGCAACATATTATGGTGTGTAATGTCTCAGTACAGACTTCTATTTTTCTTTATCATAACTACAGAGCAGGCAGCTGCCAGCAGTGTGAACTAGTCCACTTCATATAACTGCTTTTTTATAGAAAAGGGACGCTCTTAATTAGATGCCAGGCTAGTGTATAGAAACCATTCCACTGGGGGCCAAGTTTTTAGCAAGAGTTGGTTTATGATGTTGTATTAGTTTCTGGTGGACAACAAAGTGCTTCAGTTTTATATGTATATACTTTTTCAGGTTCTTTTCCATGATAGTTTATTACAACTTAGTTCCCTGTGCTATTTAGTAGGTCCTTGTTGCTTATCTATTTTGTATACAGTCCTTTAGGTCAAGGACAATGTTAAGGCTACAATCAAAGAGCAGCAGTAAGTGGGATATGTAGAAGGATCTAGAGGGGAGTGGAGGAGGCCTTCGGGAGGGGCCGTCACATGACAAGTGAGAACTGAGACTGTCCGACTGGGAGTGGTGATGGGGGGCGGGGGAGATCTGGAGGTGGACTCCACAGGAATCTGAGGTTACCAGCCAGGCTGAAAGCCCAGTGAAGCCTGAAATGCAGTGAGGAGATAAAGCTGAAGGAGGAGGAGGAGAGAGAGTTCGGTTTAGGACACATTTAGCCTGAGGTGCTGATAGGGGAAGGCAAACAAATATTTTGCAGTTTGGGAACGGGAAGCCCTGGGCACGTCCAGCTTAAACCAGAATTTCTACCTCATTCTTCTATCATGTTACAATCCTGAAATATGTTTAGAAACCTGGCACATTGAAACAGATGTTTGATAAACATGATATCTGAGACAAGATTAAAATGCCTCATCAGTAGCTCTGGGAAGACAAGATCTGTATCTCTGGCCCTTGGGCTTCTATATTGGAACTTTCTTGGGGTTTTGGAAGTTAATTTCTCTGGTTTCTTCCTTATGTTTGTTTGCTTGTTTGTCTTGCAAATATATACGTTCCTCATAGGAAAAATCTATAATAAGATAACTTTGGGGACTTTCAGTGTGTTTAGAAACCTGTCCAGAAAGCACTCCTATAACACTTTATTTGTCTAAAGATTGTTTTCAAGGAATATATTTGATTTAAATATTTTCCTCAACGGCTGAATGAAATGTTGCCAAATACTTCATACTGCTTTAGATATCCAATACAAGATGCCTTGGTGAAAGACAGACCACCAAAATCTAATACGTCTATCCTTCAAGTGACCACATTTAAAGGTTTTTTCCAACCATTCTCGGTCCTTTCTTAGACTTGTTTCAGTTGTTTTGCTGATTTCTATTTGATCTCTCTAATAATTAGTCCTTTTAAAAATTAATTTTTATTGGCATATAATTGCTTTACAATGTGTTAATTTCTACTGTACAGCAAAGTGAATCAGCTATATGTATACATACAATTAGTCCTTATTTAGGAATGATTATCATTTTACTAATTCATCCTGAAGCAAATCCCTGTCCCTTATTTGTTCTAGTCTGACAACACGACTAATTGTAAAACACTCTCTCACTGTCGCTTCCAAAGATCTTTATAAAGTTTCATACCATTTATTTTTAAAGTCTGGTTTCTTTTCCTAATACTTAAAACTGTTTCCAACATATTTTTTACCTGAAATAAATATGATCCATTTTATAACCTATGATAGGCTAAGCTTAGAAACTATTGAGAGCTCACTTTATAAAAAACAACCAATTCAAAGACCTTTGGTTTCAGCATTAAAACCAATGACAGACTGCTCTTTTTAATAAGAAAGTAAAATCCTTATTCAGAACTTAAAGTGCTTTTAAAAATATTTTAGCCAGGTAAATAGAAGGTTCTGGAAAACACCCATGATAAATATATATTTTCCAGACTCACATGATTTTCATCTGACTTTAAATTCAATATATTTCATTGATAATTCAATTTTAATCTGTATTTTTTCAACTAATCAAAAAGATTCGCTGTACATAATGCCATCCTCCAAGGCCTAGCTGAAGCAATTTTTCAGTGGTAAAGCTGCAAGTTTAAAAGAGTTTAATATTTCAGGAAAAATTTGGAGGCATTAATCAGGCAATCAGTGTTAATATTTTTCTACCCCAAGGGGAGAATGAACTTCCTGGCAGATTGTCAGAAGAACCACCTCATTGTGCGTCTCTTTATAGGAAAAGTGTCAACCAGTCAGAAGGATTTATGAAGCCTGGGATGAAGTAAAGAGCCTAAGGGCCTCTTTTGCTTTCCTCCACATTCCCTTTGCAGCTATGGGTCTTTTCGTAAGGTCTTTCACCTTGGGCATTAGTGTCTCAGAAAGAGTTAGGAGTCAGGATTCTTAAGAAAGTGGTTTACTTAGGCGGCAAAGAAAACAGGATAGGAGGAGAGAACAAGCTACTGAAGCATGTAGCTGAGCCTGGAAACTAACTTCCCACTTTGATGCCGGGGGCTGGCTCTTTGTACCTCTTACCTCCTCCCCCTGCCCCATCCCCAGCTCCAGTCTCAAGTCAGTCATCCATTGGCAGGAGGTCAAGTCTCCAGCGAAACAGACAGCATTTCACAGCTGACAAAGCAACTGTTGGGGGGAAAGGGAGATCTCAGCTAAGAAAAGGGGTTCCAGAAAAGATCACATCTACAACCGCATGATGCAGTTTCGGAAATAACTCTTCAATCTTTCTCCTTTCTCCATTCTTGTTATTGATTGTCTTAGACTGGATTTTAAGGAGCTTTTCTTTGGAGGGGGGGTGCTTTTTTTAATCTGGGCTTTTATACCAACCAGTCTGCTTCTAATTCATTTTCGAGCCAACACAAGAATTACTTTTTTTTTAACTGCAATCTGATGATTCCCAGGAGACACAGGTTCAATCCCTGAACTTGGAAGATCCTACACGCCTTGGAGCAGCGAAGCCTGTGCCCCACAACTGTTGAGCCTGTGCTCTAGAGTCCAGGAGCTGCAACTCCTGAGCCCACTGGCCCTAGAGCCTGTGATCTGCAACAGGAGAAGCCACTGCAATCAGAAGCCAGAGCACCGCAACTAGCGAGTAGCTCCCGCTCGCTGTAATTAAAGAAAAGCCCAGCGGCAGCAACCAAGACCCAGCACAGCCAAATAAGTAAATAAAAATATGAAAATTAATGAATAAAATTGGCTTAAAAACTAATTGGCAGTATAGGTTTTTCAAGTGAGGTCTCTCTGTCTCCAAGTTCGCCACTCTTTGTAATAGATATTATCTAACAGTCAGCACTTCTCAAAAGTTGAACTCATCCACTCTGCCTGCTGTTTCTCCTATGCCACCTACCTACAGTTAAGGCTGCTCTATATGGTTGACCAGGTTGTACACTGCTCAAGGGCAGCACATTTTAAGGGGCACTCTCCGAAGCAGAGACATTTTTGCTATTTGGAAATATCTTTGTGTTTTTATTACACTTAAAAATGTTGTGAAGATGGGCAATTTGTACATTTTTTATGAGAGTTATTTCAACTGATAGAAGTAAAATGTTCTTTTAAAAGGTTAGCTATGTACTAGCTACTTTGATCTAGGAAGGAGAACTAACTTTGATAAGTGAATAATACTTACAACAGCTTGGGTTTCTAAATAAGAAGCTTGTCTTCTGACACATTGATCAGTTGTATATTTAAGTTTTACAAGTACAGTCAGTCCTATTTGTAGATTCCATATCTGTAAATTCACCTATGCACTGAAATTTATTCACAGCCCGAAAATCAATACTCATGGAGCTTTTCTCAGTCATTCACAGACATGCACAGCGTGGTGATTAATGGAAAGGCTATGCTCTGTCTTCTTGTTTCAGCCCTCAGACTGTAAATAAGTGTTATTTTGTGATCTCTTTAGTTCCATTTTTTTTTTGCATTTTTGTGCTTTGTGTATGTGTGTGACTTTGTTATTTTAAAAGTCTTCTAGACATAGTGCTGAAGTGCTTTCTAATGTTCTTAAGCCGATAAGGCTGTGATGTGCCTCACAGAGAAAACAGCATTTTAGGTAAGTTTCATTTAGACAAGAACTACAGAGTTACTCAAGGCTGTTGGCCATGAGTTCAATGTAATGATTCAACAATATATATTGAAGTGTCTCTAAACAGAAACGCATGCAAAACAAGGTCATGTACTGATCAGTTAATGAAAATGCCGTGACGAAACACTCATGGAAACCTAAGCCTGTATTTCCCCTGGGAGCAGTGGATTAGTATTTGCTAATTCAGTGTTTAAAATGACTTTATAGAATATAACTACTGTGAAAAACAAACTGAATTCCACTGAATTGATCACTGATTAAATTTGACATTCACATTGCAGTTTGTATCATCTGCTCTTTGTTTTTGAACGGTATCTTGAAGTTTTTTATTAAAATCTATAAACATTTTCATTATGACAACTGTCATTAAATAATTTATATTTAATAATGCAATAATTAAATGGGATAAGTCAAATGTACTTTCTGCCAATTCAGTTACGTGACCATGTAATATGAATTTTTAATAATATATTCTTGTTAAAAAATTATTCATCTGAAGTAAAAATAGATTTTCCATAATACTCTATAGGTATAAAGTTTTCAAAATTTATCACACATGATGACATGATGAAAAAAAAATCTGTGAATCCTTATTTTTTTCTCTCATGTATTTTTTAGTCTACGTATATTTTAAACTCTTTGGGGATGAAAAAGTGAAACAAAGAATAAAAATGAGTTCGAATATTTTCAGCATTTATCATGTCTGTTAAAAAGCAGGCCAAATGTTGCTTCAAAAAATAATAACTTTTAAGTGCATTTGTTCTGTGTTTATTTGGTATGATGTTAAAAATAAAATGAGTGTTACCAACAAAATAATGCAGGGATAAAAATTCACTGTGCATGAAAGCATCAAAGAGATTATGAAATTCTTTGAAGGAAAAGCAATGGTGTTTACGAAAATATTTCTGGTAATTGCGTAGCAATATCTCTAAAAGAGAGATTTATGATGCTCAAAGAGTATCACTGCTATATCACTTCAGTTAGACATATTGCTTTAAAAATTAGTTAGATATATTGCTACAAAATTTTTAAATCTACATATAGCTGGCAGATTTTTCTCAGATAAAAACAGCCCTCCTTCTTGGTAGCTGGAAGTAACAGACTGATTACCCAGTGAAGCTCTGTAGGGTCAAGCATTTTTCCTGCTTTAATAAAATTGGCAATCAGTAGATACATCTTTGATTGAAATCAGATTATAAATGAGATCTAGTTGTTTTCATATATATGGGGAAGAAAGCACTAGTAAAGTATAAACTTGTGTGAGAAATCTTGTCCTTTTTAAAAAAAGTACCAAAAGTCCTTGAATTTATCTCTGGCCTTGGAGGCTTTCAAACAGGGGTAGATGGACAGACCCTGGAATCATTCTGTCTGGGATAAAATTCTGGCTCTGCCACTTCGAGCTTTGTTTTGAACTTGGGCAAATTCCTCTAATTCCTTGGGCTTATTTCCTCATCTGTATTATTGTATTAGTTGTTCAGTTGTGCCCGACTCTTTGTAATCCCATGGACTGTAGCCTGCCAGGCTCCTCTGTCCATGGGATTCTCCAGGCAAGAATACCGGCGTGTATAGGGGTAATAACAGTTCTTAACCCATGGGATTATTGCAAGGATTACATAAGTTAATACATGGTTAGATAACATGACCAGTTCAATGGACATGAATTTGAGCAAACTCTGGGAGATAGTGATGGACAGGGAAGCCTGGCGTGCTGCAGGCCATGGGGTTGCAAGAAGTCCAACATGACTTAGCGACCGAACAATGACAAAGTGTCTAGTACAGAACCTGGGACAAAGTATTAAATAAGTGTTGGCTTTTAGCATTATTATTCTAAAAGACAGAGAAGAACATTCCCCCACAAGATACGGCAAAAAAGGACCGGAAAAGCAAAAGGTTTACACTTATGCTAAATTACTCAGAACTTTGGAAGACCACAGGCTTACATTTTTTTTTCGCTACTCAGCAGATAAGAATAAATTCTTAAAGCATTTTCATTTCTTTTGGAAAATATGAATTTTAGAAAGAGGTTGTAGGTAGAAACAACAGAGGCACCTCATTTCTAAGAACTTAGAAATCAATTGACCTCAAGATATGGAAGCAACCAAAATGTCCATCAACAGATGAATGGATAAAGAAGATATCATATATATAAAGTTTATATATATATGCATATACATATATACAAATTTTGTATGTTTATATGTATTTATTTATGCAATAGAATACTACTCAATCATTAAAAAAAGACTGAAATTTTGCCATTTGTGGCAACATGGATGAACTTAGGAGGCATTATGCCAAGTGAAATAATTCAGAAAAAGACAAATACTATGTAATACCACTTATATGTGGAATCTAAAAAACACAACAAACTAGTGAATATAACAAAAAAAGAGGTAGACTCACAGATATAGGAAACAAATTAATGGTTACCAGTGGGGAGAGGGAAGTGGGGAGGGACAAAAGAAGGGTAGGAGATTAAGAGGTACAAGTTATTAGGTATAAAATAGGCTGCAAGGATATAATTGTACAACACAGGGAATTTAGCCAGACTTTAAGTGGAGTGAAAGGTAAAGTGAAAGTGTTAGTCACTCAATTGTATCCGACTCCTTGAGATCCCATCGACTGTCCCAGCCAGCCAGACTCCTCTGTCCATAGAATTCTCCAGGCAAGAATACTAGAATGGGTTGCCATTTCCCATTCCAGAAAATCTTCCCAACCCAGGGATGGAACCAAGGTCTCCGGCATGGCAGGTGGAGTCTTTACCATCTGAGCCACCAGGGCTTCATAAGTGGAGTATAAGCTTTAAAAATTGTGAGTCACTATATTGTACACCTGTAACTTGTATAATGCTGCTGCTGCTGCTAAGTCACTTCAGTCGTGTCCGACTCTGTGCGACCCTGTAGACGGCAGCCCACCAGGCTCCCCCGGCCCTGGGATTCTCCAGGCAAGAACACTGGAGTGGGTTGCCATTTCCTTCTCCAGTGCATGAAAGTGAAAAGGGAAAGTGTAGTTGCTCAGTCGTGTCCAACTCTTCGCAACCCCATGGACTGCAGCCCACCAGGCTCCTCCGTCCGTGGGATTTGCCAGGCAAGAGTACTGGAGTGGGCTGCCATTGCCTTCTTACTGCATACCAATTATAGTTCAATTTTTTAAAAATCAATTAGCCTCATGTGATTAAACCAAAGCAGAGATATGCAAAACCCCTTATAAGGACACTATTTTCCCAGCCAAGGTACTGTAACTTAATTGAAAATAGTAACAGATACAAAGAATATGGTAACCACAAGAGAGGTTATTAGTAATCCCACAGAAGTTCAGGGGAAAGACAATGAACCCCAAATGTCATGCCCACTTAATGGCTTTATTTCTCATGTAAATTGATAAACAGGTTTTCAAAGTTTTAAATTTCAAGAGTCTAACCTCACCACCTACAAACCTATACACACCAAGTACCTCCCAGAGACCGGGCCTTCTCTCAGGACCATCATCCATCCACAGGACTTGTTGGGTGCTGAACGCAACAGAACCCGGTTATCACAGGTCTGTTTAGTCAGGGCCACTCTGAGGCTTCCCTCGTAAGTCGGTTGGTAAAGAATCTGCCTGCACTGCAGGAGACCCGAGTTCGATTCCTGGGTCGGGAAGATCCCCTGGAGAAGGGAATGGCAACCCACTCTAGTATTCTTGCCTGGAGAATCCCATGGACAGAGGAGCCTGGCAGGCTACAGTCCATGGGGTCGCAAGAGTTGGACACGACTGAGTGCCTAGGTACACACTCCAAGACAGCTATGAAAATATGAATACAGTTCTTTGGGAGTTTTTGCTCCCACGTGTTGAAGTTCTTGAAGGACCAATGTTAAATATTCCATCAAAAATTATGATAACTTACCAAACAAATGTTCCATGAAAAAAAAATCGACCTTCAAAAGCAAATGTGGCTTCTAAATTAAGCAAAACCCCCGCTTCTTCTGGATCTTTAAAATGTCTTTATTATTTTGGAAACTCTTATGGCTTTGGGTGGGGGAGTGTGGGATTTTCCTGACCCCATTTTAGACATGCTTTGGGTTTCTTTTAAAATGATGCCAACTTTCTTTCAAAAAGCAACAAATAATTCTTGCTAATAAAAAGTTTATAAAAGTGGAGCGGGAAGGCTGTTCCTTTTACACTCTGGGCCTTCAGTATCGATTCTAACTTCCTGCTGAGGTTTTCTCAAAAGTATTCAAAAACATTTCAATGATTTTTCTGATTCAGACCAGGCTAGATTTTATTACCGATTCGATTTAGCCAACCTTATGCATACATATAAAGTCATCCTCATCTATTTTCTCAACAACATCATAAAAATAAATGAGTCTAATTTTTGGAAAGAGATTATAATCTTCTGCTGATTCACAGATTTGACCCCCATTAAAATACCCTCTTTATAAGCTTGCATTGTGAGTCGTAAATTTCCTTGGTCTATAAAACCCCCTCTAATAAAAGAGAAAGAGAAGGAAGCAAGTTACAGGAAGTTGAGTCTTTGCCTAACCATTTTTTAAAGAAATCAATTCCTCAGCCTTTTCAGAGACAGATGTCTCTTGAGGTGGTTCTAAAATACTGATTTATGAGTTTAAACTGCCTTTATTTCATTTGGTAAATTAGCCACAATTACTTAATACCTGCTCTTGATACACAGTGGTGATCAGACTATTCAGTGAATTCAAAAGAATAAAAAGTATGTAAGTCTAATCTTGAGAATTTTCTGGTTAACAAGGAATGATGAGTTGCAGAAAAGAGAAAAACCATAAAATACAAACCACAATTAGTCACCAAGCAGTACTGCAACCATGGTATGTCTTCACGACTGGAATCATAAACATATTTGATGGTAGGTTGGAAAAGGCTTCACGAGGCAGGTGAGTCTTCCCAGAACTCTGAAAGGTAAAGTGAGAAAAAGTCAGAATTATCCCAATTCCTTGGCACATCAGGCTTCAGCCATTTTGTAATGTACGTGTGAGCAAAACTCTCTGAGGCAGTCCTCACACATCTGTGTTCACACACAGTCACAAACACTCAGACACAAATTCAGCCTGATTTGTCCCAAGGTGAAAACATAAACAAAAGGCCCAGATTTATGTTTTCCAGTTTTTATATCGTGATCATGTATGTGTCCGGGATAGGTTATCTGTTCACCAAACCTGGTTAGGTGTAACTTTGAATTTCTGGCCTTTGGTATGTGGGCAGAAGTAAAGTATATCACTCTCAGGTTTGGTCCATTAAAATTTCCTGTGTGATGCTGTATGCTCTCTCTTTCTCTGTCTTCTGGCTAGATCCTGAAACCTGAATGACCTCCAAAACCACAATTGAACGAGCTAGAACCTCCATCAGCCTGGATCCCTGAATGTCAGCAGAGAGCAGATAACCCCATCACCTCCCAGCCACACATTCCAGCTAATTGGACTTCCCATTTGTTAAGCTGTTGACCTTTGGGTATTTACCTGTTATGATAGCCAGCATAACCTTACCTATATAATGTCTCATATTTGAAAACAAAAACAGATATGTAATCCTGATGAATTTTGATGGGGAAGATTAGAAATTTATGAAAGAAGGTGCATTATGAATTTATTTTCATTTTTAAAAGTAAAAAATGAACCATTTGAACAGCAAATAAAACAAAAACTCTAAGTGTAGATACAGTTAGAAGAAAACATGGAATGATACAATTATTTGAGGGTAAGAAATTTTTTTTATCTGGGTCAGATCTGTAACACAACTAGCTATGCCCACCTGCTCCCCCGCCCCGGCCCCTCTCCCACCAATGCCCTGGGGCCAAAATAGTTCCTGTCTTTTGGGGAAGACTAAGCCTCTTTATTAACTAAATAAGTTTTGAGTGTAAGGTTTCCCACACAGTAATCCGGCTCCTCTTCTTTTTCCTTTGTCACACTTCACTCCAGTGAAATTTTACAAGGAAGCAAATACATAAAACAGATCATCCTGGCACTGCTCTTGTTCAACTGGCAGTTGAAAACACGGCTCCATGCCCAAACTGCTCCTGGTACTCCTGGAAACACCTTAACAAAGCCCCAGAGGCTCTTAGAAGCACAGTTTGAAAGCCACAGCTTACAATAATTCAATTGCAAAGTATTAGGTACAGTCACACTAAGCATCCTTAGTTTCCAAAATTTATAATTCCCTCATTATCTGTCAGTTTATCTGTATTTTTAGAAATTATTTTCCAACCTATGTAAAGCTCTTAAGAGTGAACTCCATTTTCCTCCAAAATATTTCTTTACGTCCCTCTTTCTTCCATTATTCTCTGTCATCAGCCTAGTTCAGGCCCACATTATGTGACTCCTATGCCTCAGTTTCCCCCTGCTCTCCCAATCCATCCAGCACACTTTAAGAGTGTATTGTCTGTCCGTGGGTAAAGAAGGTCCAAGATCAGATCTGCCTGTTCAAATGTCCCTGACCACTCTGTCTAAAATAGGCTCTTCTCCTTGATGTCAAAAATATATCTCCTCCTGACATCAAACCACTCCTGGGCTTGCTTGTTCCCGCTCACTTGGTTTGTCAACTCTGGGAGGATAGGGTTTTTATTCTGCTCATTACTTCATCCCAACACCTAAAACCCATGCATAGCACATATTTATTGCTCAGCAAATGATTCTCTGAGTAAATAAAGGAAGCAATTCCCTCAGAGAGTTTATAGCACCTATGATTACTCTGTTCAACTCAAAACCCTTCAGCTCTACTCAATATTATGTGCCAGCCTGGATGGGAGGAGGGTTTGAGGGAGGAGAGATCCATGTATATGTATGGCTGAGTCCCTTTGCTGTTCATCTGAAACTACCATAACATTGTTAATCATCTGTACCTCAATACAAAATGGTTTTGGTGTTAAAAAATATAAAAAGAAATAAATTTTTGCTATAAGAAAAAAAAAAAACCCATTCAGATCCCAACATTTTTAAGGGACAGCTCCCTTTTGCAGCCTCATTTCCTGTCTCAGAATCTCCTGGATGTTGACTCTCACAGGAACATGCATGAATCTCAAAGGCTTTATGTTGGTTGAAGAAGCCAACTTCAAAAGGTTTGTATTGTATGATTCCACCTATATGATGTTCTCAAAAGGACAAAACTACAGGACAAAGAACAAGATCTGTGGTTCCAGGAATTAGGAATTGGGGTAGAGGTGAACATAGTCAAAGAGTTGGACACAACGGAATGACTTTCACTCACACTCACCACAAAGCTGCCAGATTGATTTTTCTAACACATGCCTTTTCCCACTTCCCTCCTCAGAAACTCTCAATGGCTCCATGTTGCCTATAGCAGTGGTTTCCAAGCCTCTTTCTCCTTTTTTGCCAATGAATCTTTGTTCAGTTGGAATCTTTTTCAGGAGGCCAGTGTGCAGAACAAACCAATTTGGGGATTTCCCTGGTTCACCTAGCTGACAAAGGGTGGAGTTCTAGAACCCCTCTATAGCCTGCCAGGGTTTCCCTAGTGGTCGAGTGGCTAAGACTTCACGCTGCCAACACAGGGAGCCAGGGTCTGATCCCTGGTCAGGGTCCTAAATCCCACATGCCACAAAAATCCTACATTCTGCATGCAGCAACTGAGATCCAGCACAGCCAAATAAATAAATAATAAAATTGTAAAATAAATAAGCAAAATAAAATCACAAGTCAATGCATTTATAGCACATACAAAAAAGTGCCTCCCCATCGCTCCCTTCTTACACACAACCCCAAGTCCCAAAGTGCCTTCCCAGAACCCCAAGAACTCTCAGAAGCACAGACTGAGAACTAGTGGCCAATAGAACAAAGTCTAACTTTGGGGGAGACATTTCTGATCTCTGGGTTCAAGCCCCAATCCAGACTCTTACTAGCTGTGTTGAAACTTGTTGAAATTCTTTTGCCCTTCGGTCAAGTTAAGGTAATAATAAGGTAATAATAATTCTCTTGTGTTGATGTGGCATAGTATGTGAATTCTTTGGTAGGGTATAAAATGCTTTCTAAAATGTATGATAGAGTATTATTATTATGAGAGGCAGTGTACATGGTGGCAAAAACTATGGATTTGGGCCTATCTGCCTTGTTCAAATGCAGGTCCTGTTACTTGCTACCACTGGCAAATATCTTATTCTCTCAGAATCTTACATCTTGTGTGTAAAATTAAGCATATATAGCATCACTTCCAGACATGAAAACCTCCAGAGGAAGACAAGGGCTACCTCCTTCCTTAAGCCCCCTTTTAAGCACAATCATTGGAAAAGGGAATGGTACCAACACAGGGAAGGTTCAAATAAGAAGGTGGCTATGCCAGGAAAAAAGAAGGGAAAATGACTTTTGTATTGTCTTCCAACAGTCTCAGCTTCAGTTTCTACTTTTGGAGTCCTGTTCCTAAGCCAGACTTCTCAATGTAGAAAAATATTTCTCCAACCCATAAAGAATTTCTGACTATAGTGCCAGCAGTCTACATAGGTGAATTTTTCAATCAATTCTTTTAACTGAAAATAAATTGCTTCCTTCGGTTCTTGCTCATCAACATATTTAAACATATTCTCATGATTTGTCTTAAATTTCCAAAATGGTTAAGCTTGCAAAAGCACTTTGTCATATTCAGTAGGTAATTGACCTGCCTGATATGGAGCTGTGAGTTAACCATCTTACAGACAGGGATCAAAGGGAAGTTAGTCAGCCTTCCAATGGGTTATACAGAAATTAATAGAGAGAAAAAGAGTTTTCCATGAAGAAAAAAATGACATACATTTTAACAAGTAGGAAGAAGGACACTTGAAAGTACTTTGCACAGCAAGGAGAACAAACCAGTCGATCCTAAAGGAAATCAACTCTGAATACGTATTAGAAGGACTGATGCTGAAGCTGAAACTCCCAATAATTTGGCCACCTGATGTGAAGAGCCCCCCTCCTTGGAAAAGACCCTGATGCTGGGAAAGATTGAAGACAGAAGGAGAAGGAGCCAACAGAGAATGAGATGGTTGTATGGCATCATCAACTCAATGGACATGAGTTTGTGCAAACTCTGGGAAATAGTGAAGGACAGGGAAGTCTGTCATCCTGCAGTCCATGGGATCTCAAAGAGTCGGACATGACTAGACAACAAAGAAAGAAGTAGAATTTTCCACAAAGGTAAAATGCCAGTGTTTGTGGAAGAGTAAATAGGATTATCCTGCTTTGGTGCACAGCAGAAAACACAATTGGATCACAAAATCATGGAGCTAAAAGCAAGTTTATGGCTTATATTCGAGAACATTAAGTAACAGAATAATTGAGTGCCAGCTAAAAGCTACATAATTAATTAGTAACAGAACTGGGACTGAAATTCAGATTCCTTGTCCAAGTTGCTTTCTCTGAACAAGAACCCAGTTCAATAAGGGAAGGTATCTGATGGGTCTCCTCTAAGATCATCATTATTAGGGTTTCAGCAGTTCAAATAACACTCCATTTGGGAACTGATGAGAAAGGAAACAGAAATAAAGAATCAAGGCATAATCTTACAGGTTGATATAAAACTATGGTTCGCTCAATTTTAAACAACTTGTCAGTAATGCTATCAAAGACCAGGCAAGAGTTGGAATAGTTTATCCGAACAGATTTGGGATTTCACCAAGACAGCAAAACAGTTTTTATATCATCCCTTTGGTTGAAAGAATAAGCCAGTTCATTCTCAATAAATCACTTCCATCTGGTCACAAGAATAATTTCCCTTCAAAAGAACTACCCACTGGTTTTCAGCTGGTTGGTGGCCTGAAACATGAGAGGCATCCTTTTCATCACTGGATTTGCTGATGTTCAGCTCTTTGCACCAAGAGAAGGCTTCCTTTCTCAATGTGGTGTTCAGCCTACTGTAAAATTCCATGAATTCATAAGCATCCAAATGATACAAAATATAATGATACAGGAAAACAATCCCTATCCCCACCCAGCCTCATTCTAGATGATTATTTAAAAACATATCTTTCACTGTATTTTTTTCCTTCTCCTCCTGAGACTTCAACATATTAATTAATCACAACGTGGCTGATCACACAATCTCCTGGCTCAAAATTTCACTGATAGTATATATTTACTCATTTTTAAAAAGAATTTAATTACATGGTTACAAATTACGGGAAAGGCACAGTAACCTGAAATAAAAGCCATACTTGACTTGTGGAGCCCAATAGATCAGAGCTTAAATTTTGTCTCTGCCATTGACTAGGTGAGTGGCCTTGTACCCAGTTACCTGAAATCACTGTGCCTTGGTGCTCCTATATAAATAATGGAAGAAAATCTTTGCCTCTGGGATTTTTATGAAGATATCATGCCGCATTATGAGTAAAGCACTTAATCCTGTGCCTGGAACATAGTGCTCCATAAATGGTATTTTTTGATTAGGGGCTTTCCTGGTGGCTCAGATGGTAAAGCGTCTGACTGCAATGCGGGAGATCCGGGGTTCGATCCCTAGGTTGAAATGGCAACCCACTCCACTATTCTTGCCTGGAAAATCCCATGGAAGGAGGAGCCTGGTAAGCCACAGTCCATGGGGTCGCAAAGAGTCAAACAAGACTGAGCAACTTAACTTTCATTTTTCTGATTACAATGCATCTATAACATGCTTGCTATTCACTGATTGTCAGTAATTATTATAAAAATTGGGAATTTATGTCAAAGAAATTTCACTGAATTCTGCTTCTTGCTTCATATTTTAAACAGCTCTTTCTGATTTCTGATTTTTAAGATCTGTAAAACATTTTTTTTTTGGTAAAACATTTTAAGACAAGTTCTAAATAGGAAAACATTCCGAATACTTTTTCTTTTTTTTTAATTAAACAAACAAACAAACACACACACACACACACACACAAGCTTTGTAGTGATAAGATTAAGGATGACTCATTCCATGTGCAAATGTGAAATCTTTTCTTTCTCATTAAGGACTCCTGGAAGAAATCAAGCTGGAAAATAGAAGAATTATATTAAGAGAAGTCTGAAATGGGAAGAAAAAACACAGTATGATGTATCTCCTCTTCACGTCAAAAACAAAATCATAAAAATAAACCCAGTCATGGCTTTCACCAACTTTATGAAAAGGAAAGAAAGAAAACTGAAGGAAAAGTTAAAAAAAAAGAAAAAGAAAAAATAAGAGCATGTATTCTTAACTTTTTTGGGTCATGGACTTCTCCAAATAAAACATCTAAATTTTTTATGTAATGATAAAGCAATAATTCAAGATAGTGGAAGCAACCATAAAGTAATATGAAAATACTTGTGATTTTTACAGGTGATAAAAGCACAGATACTGCTAATATTGCTGAAATTTACGGCCAATAATCAATACTGAAGGAAATACTACTTTTCAATTAGAGATTAATAAACAGAAAGATTAAAATTTTTTTCACCCAAACTTACATGTCACCTGAATTCTATCCCTGAAACCCTTGAATTCCAGTTGCAGAATTTCTGCACTGGGGACATACCAAGCTCAATGTTTATCTTCTTAAATGTAAGATAGAATTGAAATATTAGCTCCTTTAAATTTTCTGAATTATGGTAAAAATTAACTTGCTGTTACATTTAAGAAAACAAGTACAGTTTTGCTTCTTCAAGCAAAGTAAAATGAAAAGCAATTATTTTTATTCTCTTACAAAGTTTTTTCTAGTGTGACTTCTCTACATTGTTAACGAAATACTATGTCTTTTCTCCACTTTTCCAGAATTTTATTTTCAAATTCACCTATGTTGATATACTTCTAGGATAAACCGCAGGAACATTTTTTGGTTACAAACATTACATGTAACAGAAAATTTTAGACAAGAAAGGAATGAGGATACAGTTTTGTTGTCATTGACCTTACTGTGTTTTACCAAATCCTTGTTCCAGTATAATGATTTTAAAGTTGAAACCACAAGAATGTGTGTAGTCAACAACAAAAATTATACTCTGCCAGTTTTTCTTGCTGAAATCTCCGTACTAAATAGTACAGAAGAAAAATCCAGCCACTTTTCAATGCTAAGGGATCTCCCCCTTGTGCCTAAACTTTGTATTGAACTCAAGCAGGATTGAAAGTCATCAGCATATATTGTGAAGTTTTTTTTAAAAGAAAGGCAAAAAGTGACTCTGCTTCTCATATAAAGCAATTACTCAATGTTGAGAGTTTGGGGCTAAAAGCCTAATACACGCCTAATAGAAGCAATTATTTCAAAGGACTAGAATAATTGGGTGGCTTCAAGCAATTCTCAGTAACTGAAGACTTGCAAATCTTAATGGGTACTGGTTGTCTGACAATGTTCCTATCAGCTTCCTTGATGATAGCAAA